GCCTAGACACCTCCAGGCTACATATCTACTTGGTCTGCCCACTGCAACTGGAAGGCTGAGACGATCTAAGTCCGTCTCCAGCGACTCAACCCCTTCTCCGAGAACCTGGGCCACCTGCTCCTTCCTTCCACAAGCCTGCAGCGCAATATCATCCACGACGTTCCTAACCATCAACTGCGGCCCCCCCTGCTTAGCCTGCAGCATCGGGCCCAAAAGGGGCAGCTTCGCAAGACACGTTGCTCAACTGCAACCTGCAATCACAGACCCGCTGGCGTGCACCACTCGTGAAACAGCACCCCCGTATAGAGGCGTGCGAGGACAGACACACGTCGTGCACAGGCAGCGCAAAACCCTGACCGGGAGCCTCAGCGCCGCCTTATACAGGCGCTCGTGACCTATGTGCTCGTAAAACTTGGAAAGGTCCAACAGGGCGGAGGCCGACTCGAACCCGACCCCTGTCGAGAAATTCCCAAGGAGATGATGGGCCCACCCTGCGCGCTCACATGCAGCGGTTTTGCTGACCCCCAGAAGACGCCCTCCATGTGGTCGCGCCCCCAACGCTTGAACATGGACTGCCCCGCCCTGGACTAAATCTTGGAATAAAAATCCAGCAACCCGATGGGACGCACGCTTCCGCCGGCCTCGCCGATAAAAACGACATTCGCCACGAAGAGAAACAATTCCAGTGGAGATTCTTCACACCTGCGCAGAAGGTCGATCAAACGCGTAGCGTACTCATCGCCAAGCTCTAGTACCCACCGAGGATGAAAGCCACCCCACCCCAATCCGCACTTCCTGCTATACCTCTGGCGTACCTTCATTAAGACCTCGGGCGATATAGCTGGCAACGCAGCCTCTTCACGAGGCACAGACCAGGTTGCTGGACGTTGGGCTCCTCAGGCCCGCTACGTTCCATAGCGGCGCCCCGACCCCCAGCAGGTAGCCCGACGCTTCCTGCCCGCAAACTGGCTCCCCTGCCGCATCTAGCATGGACGCGGGGCTCGCCCGAACGCTTCGAGAAAGCATGAGCCGCCTTCCCTCCGCCTTCAGTCGGCTCCACCGCCCACGACCTCCACTCCGCCAAGCTGGACTTGGAACCCTGTCTTCTCATCCGATCCACCTCCAACTCAACTCGCGCAAAACCTCCGCCCCCCCCCCCCCCCCCCCCTCGACCATCCCATCCACGACACCGTTGACGAGGAGCACCAGGTCAGGCATAAGGGGGGCCGCTGTCGCAGAAGCCCAGGGCTTCGGTCATGCGCAACAGCTCATCCCGCAATTCGAGCAAGAGCAACAAATCGACCTCGACGGCCAACTGCTCCTGAAGCAGACTGCCTGCACCTAGCGACGAAACGCAATCCAGGTTGTAGTTGCGCTGGAAAGCCTCCGCCTTTGGCCCTTATCCCGGAGCGTTCCCAGGGGGGCTTTGTTTGCGCCTTGGGCCCTCGAACCCTGCCAGCGTTGCCCTGAGCCCCTTTGCCGCGCAATCCGTGGATCTGGACCAGGCGGTCTTCAGCAGCCCCAAACCACGGCTTGCACATTTGATCCAGCGTAACTTCACCAGCTCCCGACACGTTTTCAATCCACTGCCACGCGTCACGCAACCCTCTTAAGCTCGGGACGCGGACCAATGAAGCCATGCTCGAACGGGCGCAACGCAACCTGGCGAGGGATCACGGCGAGGTGGGATAGACCTTCCAGCTCCACGTAGACAGGACTGCGCGGGCCAGGCGGGGCCCCCGAGAACACCTCGAGGCCCTTGGCCTGAGACGCCAGACATTCTGCCAAGAGGAAGTAGTCCAGGACATGTCCTGATCCAGAAGACCCCGCAGGGTCCAAAACCTCCGCCCCCACTAAGCCCTCATCACCTTCGCGGCCGTCGGGATCTCCTCGGGCCCCAGTGCACGCGGGCCCCCTGGGGGCCACCATCCAGCCCCTGACGATCTGCAACCACCCCGACGCCGTCAGCGCGGACGGCTGGAAATTGAAACCACCCTGGACAATCCATGGCAGCTGCTGGCTGCGCAGGAGCTCCCCCAGGGTCTCCAAGAGCGCCCCGCCCCCCCGCCCCCCCCTCCGACAGCCCAATCCCACTGGCGAAGAACACCGTGACAGCTAGGAGGCCCTGCGGGAACCCAACGCTGACCGCGCGCACGCTCGCCCGGTTGGCTGGCGGGTCGAGATACTTCTCAGCGAACGGCTTGAAAGCTAAGCTGCACTGGACTCCGATGGCAACGCCACCTGAGCTCTCAACGCTACTGCTGCCAGGGCTTGCCGCCAGCCCATGAAACAGCTGCCAGCCATTCCTCGCCCCCCACGCTGATGCCGTGGACGCGTTGAAGGCTGTCTTGACGCGAGCCCCCTGGGTCATGATCACATCTGGCCTGCTCGCCAGTCACCAGTCCGCCTCGAGTGGGAGCTTCGTCCATGCACCATGCCAAGACAGTCTCGGCCGTGCCCCGGGCGTCGGCGCCACTGCCCAGGCAGCTCAAGTACGCGGCCTTGAACTCATCGGCTGGCCCTGGGCATGGCGGCGGGCCCTCGACCCTGATCACACACGCGCGCGCGGCCTCTGCCCCGCGACTGCGACGCGGTCGCCTGCCTTGGCGGCCCCCTCGAACGGGGCGCCGCGCCCCTGCGCCCTCGGCGTCGACGGAGACGAGGGCGTCACTGAAACCCTGGACCCCCTCGACCCCGACGGCTCAATCGACGGCGGCGGCCCCCCGAACCACTCGCGGCAATCGACGCAGAGGGCCGCCCTGGACTTCTCGCGCCGCAAGCCTCTGCAGACCGCGTCGAGCTCGAGGACGCAGCGGCCGCCCTTCTCGTCGCCGGGGCCGGCAACGGCGCGGGTGGGGGCTGCGACTTTGCAGGGCTGAACCCTGCCCCCCCCCCCCCCCAGCGGACGCTGGGCTGGCCGTGCCCCATCCGAGCGGGGGCCACTCGACAAGGTCCAGCACCCTGCCGCTGCCCGCCGCGCCGCCCCCTCCAGCGCCGCCTGCCAGCGGCCGCCGCAGCGCTGCGCCGTTGTCCCTTGCTGGCCCACCTCCACGGAGCGGTCGCGCGGTTGCCCCTTGCTCGGGGGAGGGCGGGGTCGACGGGCGCCCCCAGAGCCGCCCCCTACCCCGCCCAGGCCAACGCGCCGCCCCATCCAGTCATCAGCGGCCCCGCCCACACCGCACCCTCACCTGCAGCGGCACGCCCCCCCCCCCCCCCCAGCCGAGCGCCGACAGCGGCCCCGCGGCCCGTGGCGGGGCCGACAGCGGCTCGAGGGCCCGCGGCACTCGGAGGGCCCACGGGCACCACTGATGACACTCCAGCAGGCACCCCAGCAGCTGCCGCATCACCTGCTGCTCCCCACGTCGAGGCGGGCCTGCCCCACTCGCTGTTTACCCCTTGGGTGCGCCTGGGGGTAGGCTCCAGGGGGGCTGGGACTTGCGCTCTGGGACCACTGACCTCCTGCCCTGTGTCGGCGAGGGCCTTTGGCGAGAGCCGCTTTGGGATCAGCGGTTCGCGCGGATTCAGGCCGATCCCCCGAGCGGATCGACCCGCAGCCCCCACGCCTCCACCAGACTGCCTGCCAGGGCTCGCCCCACGAGCCGCCATGCGGCGCAGCGTGGGCGGGCCCAGCGCGCCAGTGGGCGCTGCCTGGGCCCGGGCAGCAGGCCTGGGACCTCGGAGCCGAGCCCGAGCTGGCCCCACTCCACGCCCACGACGTTGTGGTCCCAGAAACGGCGCAGCACGTTGTTCCCCGAGCCGTCATCAAAGGCACCGCTTCTTCTTGATCCCAAGCGCAGCCGCTGCCAGCGCCAACTTGCGCTTGGCAGCCTCCTGCGCCTCAGGGGCGGCTGTGCGGAGCGCCTCGACCGCAGCCTTGAAATCGGCCAGGAGCCTCTCGAAGTTCTCAGCGCTGAGGAAGCCCACGTCAATGTCCTCCTCGCCCTCCCCTGCAATGGAGTCGGCAGGCGCCCTGCTGCCAGCTGCCCCAGCGCTAGTGCGAGCACCAGCAGCGCCGCCGCCAGCCAGCCGAGGCTACTGCGCCTTCTCCTCAGCGCCCTTGAGGTCCAGGGTGGTCCGCTGGAGCTTCGCCAGCACCTCCACGGCGGCCTTGGCCTCCGCGTCCGTGCGCAGGCTGGGATCCAGCGCGGCAGTCGTGACTTTGACCACGTCTTTGATGTCGACGGCATGCACACGTACATATAAGGCACCTGCAGCTGCAAGGTTCCTCTTGGTGTCCAGAATGGCCGCGAGGAGCCCAGCCTCTTCCTTGATGATCTGCTCGCGGCGCTCCTTGATACTCTGGAGCTGGAGGTCCTGCTTCCCAGACTTCTCCCGTAAGTTCTCGACCCTCCACCTCGCTGTGACGACCGAGGGTGGGTGCTCAGCCTGCTCGCACTGCTGGCACGTAGTGGTCGGCTGCAAGACCTCCTCGTCGCACTTCTTGTCTTTGAGGAAGACCCGCACATCCTTGTAAGAAAGCGAGCTGGGACCTCCTGCTGACTGCTGCTGCTGCTGTTGTTGCTGTTGCTGCTGCTGCTGTTGTCCCCCAACAGGGGCCGCGGCGGATTTCTCGTCCTTTTCCAGCAGCATGTCGAATTTCTTCTGCATGGCGGTAATGAGTTTCCCCAGACCCCGTGCTGCTTGACACGAGCGACCAGAACCTTTGCCGCCGGCGTAATTCCCCCCCTTCTGGTGCAACTTGGCTGCCTGCTCGGCCGCCTGCTGCACCATCTGGGGGGCTCCGTTCCCGCAGCCACGGCATCTGAGGCGACTCGCCCTGTTGTCAGCTGCACCGCATTTGCCGCACCCCCAGAGAGGGAGGTGCGGCCCTGGGAGTACATCGGGCACCATCCACGGCGCGGGGGGCCAAGCGTAAATAGCTCGCGAACACGGCGACTATCTGAAGCACGTGTCCGCAACTCTCTATCAAACACTCGAGAGCAGAGGGGCTGAGAAGGCGGAGGAGGAGGAGGAGGAGGAGGAGGAGGCGGAGTAGGGATTTGGATTGCCTGCTCGTTGAGGCAACTAGCCTGTCGAGTTACGGTGGCGCTGCGGCTAGCGACGCAACTGAAATAGTGATATCGCACGAGCACCTAAGGATTGCAGTATACAGTACCAGTACACCAAACCCACCTCTCCTTATTCCTTCCACCCCCACGCAAAATCCCCCACCCTTCAACTGGGCAACTGGACGGCAAACGCGAAAAACTGCGACAGTGGCTTGCTGCGCCCGTCCAGGGCATTCGGGTGGAGGGGCGGAGGGAGGGAGGGGGAGGCAAGTACGTAAAGCGGGAAGGGGGAAGGCTGGGACGCAGACCACATTCCCTACTCGATGCAGAGGAGGAGAGGGTAAGGCTGGGACGACGACGTCGGCCCTGAGCCCTCGGAAAAACACGCGGCGTGGGAGCGAAGCTGCAGACACTCGATCGCCGCTCGGCCCTCCACTCACGCCTCACTCGGTCGCCGGCCCTCCTCTGCGAGACAAGCGGTGAACCGGAGTCGAGCAACGCTCGCAAGAGTGCAAGGGCCGCGCAGAGAAACGTGTGCATCCCACCGACAGCCACTCCTCACATCCCAAAGCGTCAAGCAGCTGGGCTGGCATCTGGGATCGCTCAAGAACGACCGCCGTTCCGCCGGCTCTCGGCCGCTCGGGACGGGAATGGGTGGAGGGGGGAGGATAATGAGGAAGACGAGGACAGGGTAAGGCTGGGACGCAGACCTGGGCCCTAATCCCTCTTCTCTCTCGCTCGCCGGCCCTCCTCTGCGAGAACACACCGGCTCTGTAATCGAGCAGTGCTCGCGAGAGTGCACGGGCCGCGCCGAGAAACGCCTCCATCCCGATCCTCCCCTCCTCTGACAACCTGAACCCCCACCCTCAACAATACGCAGATTGGCCGGCAAACGCTAAAGGGGCTTGCTGCAACGGCCTGGGCACTGTGGAGTAGGGACGGGAGGAGGAGGAATAATGAAGGCTGGGACGCAGACCTGGAGCCTCCTCGCTCGGGAACAACTGGGCGAGAGAGCGATGCTGCAGAGAAATCGCTGAGCTCGCTCGCCGGCCCTCGACTGTCGCCTCTATCGATCGCCGGCCCTCCACTACAACACAGTGGACGAAGGAGGGAGGGCGAGAGGGAGGCAGCAGCGGAGGGGAGGGTAAGGCTGGGACGACGACCTCGGCCCTGAGCCCTCGGAAAAAGACGCGGCGTGGGAGCGAAGCTGCTCCCATCGACAGCCACTCCTCACAACCCAAAGCATCAAGCAGCTGGGCTGGCATCTGGGATCGCTCAAGAACGACCGCCGTTCCGCCGGCTCTCGGCCGCTCGGGATGGGAATGGGTGGAGGGGGGAGGATAATGAGGAAGACGAGGACAGGGTAAGGCTGGGACGCAGACCTGGGCCCTAATCCCTCTTCTCTCTCGCTCGCCGGCCCTCCTCTGCGAGAACACACCGGCTCTGTAATCGAGCAGTGCTCGCGAGAGTGCACGGGCCGCGCCGAGAAACGCCTCCATCCCGATCCTCCCCTCCTCTGAAACCCCCAGCCCCCGCAGTAGGTGGCGACGGACAGATCAATACATACTCTGCTCGCGTGCCCTACACGGGCATTGTGGAGGAGAGGCGGAGGGAGGAAATAATAAGTGAGAGGGAGAAAGAGGGCTCGGACACAGACCGAAATCCTCCTGCTCTCGTGACACGGAAGAGAGTTTGGGAGAAGGCTGGGACACAGACCGAAATTCTCCTGCTCTCGTGAAGTCGTGACATCTGCGACGCATGCTACGGCAGCTGCTGCTCCTCCCCTGCACCACCCTATCTTCTCTCATGAAACCCCCATCCCGCACAGTAGGTGGCGACAGACGGATCGAGACATACACTGCTCGCGTGCCGTTCCCTACACGGGCATTGTGGAGGAGAGGCGGAGGGCGGGAAATCGTGACGCGGAAGAGAGCTTGGGAGAAGGCTGGGACACAGACCGAAATTCTCATGCTCTCGTGATCAAAGTGTCTGAGCACAGACGTGAATTCATGATCCCACTTCACAAACATCGTCCTGAAGTTGACAAGTTGCGACGTGGCAGGAAGCTTGCAATACTCAATGCTCAGTCGCCTCACTCGGGGCCACCATCCGGGCTGTCTGGAAGAAGATTCCGACGATCACCATCAGAGCGAGGCACGATCTTTTACTTCATATGGATGCCGATGGCCGCATATGCGGCAACCATGGCGGCCCTGGCAGCTTCGATGCCTCCTTGAGCAGCGATCGCGTCGCCGATCCTCCGATTCCTCTCGTCATCATCTCGCTGAGCAGCAAAAAGGCTGGCTGCCACGTGATGTAGTTCAGGATGTCGGGCTCCAGCTTCACCACCGACCTCACGCGGAGGAGCGAGAGGGTTAGCTGCCACTGCCCTCCCTGATCGCACGCGCGGATCGGGATCCGGAAACTCTCGATGGCGGGCTCCATATTCACCATCCACATCTCGATGAGCAGCGATCGGGCTGGCTGCCACTGCCAGCGCTTCTCGCACACGCTGGTCGGGGTTCTGTGGCTCAGGATGGAAAGTGCCAGCTTCGCCACCGACATCTCGCTGAGCAGCGACGGGGCCGGCTGCCACGTGCTGTAGCTCATGATGTCGGGCTCCAGCTTCACCACCCACATCTCGCTGAGAAGCGATAGGTCCGGCTGCCACTGCTCGCCCTTCGGGTAGCTTCCGCTGTCCCAGTGCCGCTGCACGTTGCTGGGGCCACGCAGCGCGGCGCGCGGCCAACGGACACGCAGCCGCAAGATGGGCAGCAGCTCTGACGGCAGCCTTGCTGGGCATCGCGGCGGGGGCCTCCGCCACGGCACCGGCCTCCAGCTTCGCGTCCGACGCGGGTACAGCAGCAGCGTCAACGTCACCAAGTTGCCCGCACGGTGTGCCGACGACGTATCGGCTCACATCATTCAGCGGCGGCGGCGGAGCGCGCAAGGCCACAGCCGGCGCCACAGCGGGAGGAGCGCCAGGCGGCGGCGCCGGCACGCGGCGAGCAGCCAGGTAGCTGGAGGTACCAAGATACGCCGCCCGAGCGCCACGCTCCGCGCCTTTCGAGCACGGCGGGAGCTCCGGGAGTACAGCACGAGCAAGAAGACGTAGAACATGATCCTGGCCGAGAGCGGGAGAAGCTGCAGCAGCAGCGTCGGCACGATCTTGGGCGGGTTGCGCAGGCAACACGCGTGGCGGCAGCAGCACCGACGAAACACACAGCGAGGAGGTCGGCGTAGCACTGGGCGAACGGGCGGCTGCCGCAGCCGCAGGGGCGCTGATCGCCTCGAGCCCGGGTGACTCCTGGAGTGCAGCACCAGCAAGAAGAAGTGCATGTTTATCTCCGCGGACACGCTCGGGTCCAGGAGCACGGCCACGACGCACGACGGCGGCCACGTCGCTCATACGAGGCCGGCATCCGACTCTGGCCGCATAGCCGAGCCGTCGCGCAGCTGCACGAAGCGTCGGCCTCGGTCGGCTGCAACGCCGTCCGGAGGGGTCTCGCGGCGCGCGGCTGGCCTGCGGCTCGCCTGGCATCGGCGCCAGGGGCAAGGCGAGGCGGCCTGCGCGCATGGCAGCTGTCCGCGGGCGAGGCGCGCAGCGCGCGGCGGTACCTGGTACCGCGGGCACTGCACCCAAATCCTCGACCCGGGACGGCGGCTGCGGAGTAGGGAGGGAGGGAGGAGGGAGGAGGGAGGAGGGAGGAGGGAGGAGGGAGGACGGAGGCGGGAGAAGGTTAGGAAGGAGGATGGAGAGGGAGGAGGAAGGAAGGAGGGAAGAGGGAGGATGGAGGAGGAGGAGGGAGGAGGGAGGGAGGAAGAAGGGAGGTGGAGGAGGGAGGGAGCAAGGAGCGGAGGGGGAGGAGGGAGGAGGGAGGAATGAGGAGCGGGAGGAGGGAGGAGGGAGGAGGGAGGAGGGAGGGAGAGGGAGGAGGAGGAAAGGGAGGTGAGGAGTGAGAAGGGAGGAAGAAATAGGGAGGAGGGAGGAAGGAGTAGGAGGGGAAGGACGAGGATGGAGATGGAGGGAGGCAGAGGAGGAGGAGGAGGGGAGGGGCGGAAGAAGGAAGATGAGGGATTGAGGAGGAGGCGAGGAGCGAGGAGGGTGAGGAGAAGCGAGGAGGAGGGAGGGAGGGAGGAAGGTAGGGAGAGTCAGAGAGAGGAGGAGGACAGAGGAGACGAGGCGCAAGAAAGAAAGAGAAAGAGAGGAGGAGAAGGAGGAGGAGGAGGAGGAGGAGGGAGGAGGAGGAGGAGGAAGAGAGAAGAAGGGAGGAGCGGAGAGAGAGAGAAGGGGGGGGCGGAGGAGGAGGAGGAGGGAGGAGGAGGAGGAGGGGAGGAGGAGGAGGAGGAGGAGGAAGAGGAGGAGGAGGAGGGGGAGGATGCAGCGCAGGCGGAGGCAGAGGCAGAGGAGAGTAGAAGAGAGGACAGAGGAGAGTGCAAAGTATAGAGAGAGGGGAGGAGACAGGCTCGCAGGCTAGTTGTGCGCTCGCGCCGTGTCGGACATCCCAACCATTCCCACCCTTGCTGTACCATTGCGCTGAATTACATGTTTGATCCGCCGTTTGGGGTGTCCTGCATGACCTTGATCCTCGAAATGACAACGTCGTGTGATGAGTAATCAGGAAACGGGGGGGGCTTTGTACAGTGGATGAGGAGAGTAGCGGATCAGCAGTCTGGTCTGGACCATATGAGCACTTCTGATTCAGCAAGGACTCGCGGGCCAAACTCAGACCGGGGGAAAACACAGGAGCAGGGTTATAGGAGGCACAAGCGGACTAGAGGGGCGCGGAGGGAGGGAAGACTGGGAACGGCAAAGACGAGTAAAGAACGGATCCAGAAATGTGGCCCACGCTAAGGCGAGAGCACTAATCTGAACGACGGAAGCACAGCGCAGACCCTGAACGGCGACCAGCGCTGCTGCAGCGGGAGCATCCCTTGCAAGGATCGAAGACGGTCCGATTGAAAGAAATCCTTCCAGAACAAAGCAACGCATGTTTGAAATCCTGTGAAAGAGCGGGGATAAGAAACACAAAACAAACAACGGATGGGGGCGGAGGCAGGAGGTGGCAGGAGGAGAAAGGAGCATGAGACACGAAGCAGGAGACGACGAAGACGAAGACGAGGACAACGACGAAGAAGGACGAAGATGAAGAAGACGAAGACGAACACGACCAAGACGAAGAGGAGGAGAAGCAGGAGACGATGAAGACGAAGACCACCACCACCACCACGACGGCCAGTCTCGGAGAAGGGCCAGTTGACACCACGGCGGCTCTCCTGCCAGGCCCAGATCAGCTCAGAACTGGCCCCCAGACCCCTCCCGGGGCCGAGCCTGGCTCGTTCCTCGAGGCGGATCTGGCCGTGGCGCCGAGAAGCCCCCAGGAAGTCCAGAGAGAGCGGAGTGCCTCAGCAAAGCACCCTAAGAGCAGCAAAGGTGAAGAGGCGGGTCGAGAAGCAGGAGGTCGGCCATAAGGGACAAGGGTGAGAGCACGGCCATGTGCACCGTAGTCCGTAGTGCACTTTCTTACCAGGGATCGTGGCCGTCCAGACCAACAATGTAGCCCACATTGAAGCGCGAGGAACTCTCAGATGAAACGGCTACTGGACCACGCGGTCTAGGTCTCCCAGTCCCCCCTGTAGAGGCCTCCTAGATGGGGTCGGAGTAGATTGGGTTCGGAGGATCGCGCCGTATCCCCGATGCATCGGCGATGCATCGGGGATGCAACTGCGACGCATCCTCGACGTCGGCGATGCATCGGCGACATCGACGTGAAGCACATCGGGCTCCACATCGAGTCGCATCGGCGATGCATCGGGGAGGCGGCGCGATCCTCCGACCCCATCTACACCGACCCCATCTAGGAGGCCTAGACCCTGTGGGACTCCTCTGGGGCCCTCTTCTCTTCCATCAGAACCCTCTCGAGGAATATAAATATATATATATATATATAAATAAATATATATGTGTGTGTGCATGTAAACATATAGATGTACACTAATAACTGTTCTTATTATGACACTACGAATACTAACGAAACTACTACTAACACTAGGAATGATGATAGTAATAATGATAGTAATAATGATAATGGCAAGTATAATGACAATGACGATAATAATGATGACGATAAACAAAATAATAATGATAATAATCATGATACGAATAATAAAGAATACTCTGAATAATAATA